CTCTCCTGGCCCAACCCCGTGGCACTGCCGTCCTGTTGTGTCCCATCCCTGTGGCTCATGGTGTCCTCATCCTGGCCTGTGTCACCCCTGCATCACTTTGCTGCCCTGGCATCCCCCTGCCATCCCAAGCAGGTGTCCCTGTGCCATGCCACAAGGGTGTGCCCATGGTCCCGTGGTGTCCCTATCCTCTCCTACCCCACTTCTGTATCCCTGTATCCCCACAGTGTCCCCCTGCCACTCCCCTGTGTCCTTATTCAAATCCCCATGTCCCCATGGCATCCCTGTGCCCCGTAGAGTCCCCATAGTGTCCCTGTCCTGACCTGTCCCACTCTGGTGTCCCCACAGTGTCCCCAAGCCCCCATAGGGTCCCCACGACATGCCCGTGCTATCCCACCCCGATGTCCCCATGCCATCCCCTCACCATCCCACCTCGCTGTCCCTGCGGTGTCCCCCCACCATCCCACGCCGGCGTCACCACGGCCCGCGAGCTCACGCTGCCGCTGCCTCCCGCAGTGCCCCAAGCTGGCCATGGGCCGGCACCTGGAGGAGAGCACCAAGGCACACCTGGGCTGTGCGCCCTGGGGACCCGGCAGCGGCAGGAGATCCTGGAGCTGCGGCGCGACGTGGAGGAGCTGTCGGTGAGCAGCGACGGGACGCTCATCTGGAAGATCGCCGACTACGCCCGCAAGCTGCAGGAGGCCAAAGCCCGCAGCAACTACGAGTTCTTCAGCCCCCCTTTCTACACCCACAAGTACGGCTACAAGCTCCAGGTCTCGGCCTTCCTCAACGGCAACGGGAGCGGCGAGAGCAGCCACCTCTCCGTCTACATCCGCGTGCTGCCGGGCGAGTACGACAACCTGCTGGAGTGGCCCTTCTCCTACCGCGTCACCTTCTCGCTGCTGGACCAGAGCGACCCGTCGCTCTCCAAGCCCCAGCACATCACCGAGACCTTCCACCCCGACCCCAACTGGAAAAACTTCCAGAAGCCGGGAGCCTCGCGCAGCTCCCTGGACGAGAGCACCCTGGGCTTCGGCTACCCCAAGTTCATCTCCCACGAGGACATCAAGAAGCGCAACTACGTGCGGGACAACGCCATCTTCATCAAAGCCTCCGTGGAGATCCCCCAGAAGATCCTCGCCTGAGCGGGCGCTGGAGAGGACGTGAATGGGGGCCGGGAGGCTGGGGACAACCCAGATGGTGCTGAGTCCCTACCCAGCGCGGTGCCCGTGGGGCTCCCAAGGGCCGGGGACGCTGCCACGGCCGGCGGCTCTCAGGTA